GAGAAAATCAAACCAACCAATCCCTAAAAATGTAAAACTCATTTTCTACGACTGAGTTTGCGACTCAATCAAATTATTCTCATTAAAGATCTCCTATTTTACTAAGAGCGTAAACACGATGATAAAAATAAACAGAAATAAAGTGATGAACAGAATACCAAACACCAATCGAAAGTGAAACTCGTCTTGTTGCCAATAACAATAATGACGTTAGAATAAACTAAACATTGCTTTATCAGCTTTAACAATGTCCAGAACCCCGACCGCTCACATCTACCCCCTTACACATGTTGTTTTGTTGGGAGAGAGGGGGGCGAGGTAGATTTAATTATAGTTGTATGTTTGTGTTTATACATGTCCCATGTGTCATAAAGTAGGTCGTGAGTGCAGTCCGTTGGCTGAGATAAGTCCACCGCTTTTAAAAAGTTTTTTAAACTCACTTTTGATGCTATTGCGTTAACTTTTAGTGATAAATTGTTATAAAAGCTGTTAAGGTTTATTGAAATTGTTATTTTAGGTGCGGTGCAGGTGTGACTGGTAGTGATTAGAACCTCGGCCTCGGAGTTCAGTAAAGAAAGTGAAATCGGTTGAGATTGAACGTATATTATTATGTATTACTACATTTAATATGTACATATATAGTAAATTTACCAACACTTGTAATCTTAGTATAATATTTTAGACATACGACAAAGAAAAAAACGATGAACCGCATGAAAGACGTTATATATTAAAAAGTTACGTGATGCCGGATGATGATGTATTAGAAATAAAGGTAAAATATTATGATTATAACAGAACATGAAGTCTCATATATAAGGAATTGGGTGAAATCTAAACAAAGTATAAACCAAATACGGAGTCATATTTCAATTATTATCTCCTGTTTAAAATTTATCTACATTCTTTCGCAGAAAATAAAGAGCCAAATTGTAGTGACGATGTCGCAAAAACATAATGGAACAAGCTTCAAAACTTGTAAAACAAAACACTAAATTACGTACCCAAACAAATTCTTGTCGGCCTAAAGTAAATAAACATAACTTTTGTAGCAAAACAAGAACCATTATCTTAATTTTGTTTTACCACTGAAGTACTTTTGAAATCATTTGGCAGCAATTTACATAGCGCTCGAAGACGCATCAAATGTAATTAAGGGACAAGTAAACAGCAGACGACCTCGACTTCAAACACGCCTGCTCTCTAAGGACACCAAATTAGAGCATACAAAGAAATTAGTATCTTATCAGGAGACCACTTAAAGTGGCTTCAGACGGCTATCACTTGAAGGTAGTTGCAGCACTTGTTTGTACGGATCCTGGAGTTTAGTCGACACCTGGTAATAAAACCACATACTTGAGTCTAACTGCAGTCGATCACGCGATGTAAGACAGCCATATCGCAAGATAGGCGTTCATAGATGCCGTTGTTTGTGCAAACGCCTTGAGTATTTTAAGTTACGTGCTACGATTGCATGCTAAGTGTACGTTATGTGTTAATGTCTATGATTTAAAGGTTAACGACAGTAAGTTTAAGGCTCTTCTTCTCATTAGTAACAAAGTTTGTTACAAACTGTTTGCCGTGTTTCTAACCTATGTCGCTCCCACAGGGAATAAACATACTGTACGTGGATAGCATGGAATTAAATTAGCAAAACAGGTCTAAGTAACTGGGTTAATTTACTTAATCTCAATTTGTTTTATATTTACAAGAAAATGATACTTGTAGACTTAAGAGTATTAGAAAATAAAGATCTCATTGATAACTTAACAGTGCCACAAAAGACGAAAAAGTCACAGTAGCTATACTCGTGAACGACCATAAATGTAGTACTTACTCACATGACAACATAAAATGTATCATTAAATCGTTTCTTTCGTGAACTTCGTAAATCTCTTGGAGCATTCTCCACCGATGTGCAACTTCGGAATGAACCAACAAATCATTTGCTCAATATGTAAGAGGGCTAAGTTTAAAGTGAAAACTTTTGTTTGCGGCCTGGCCGTCTGCTTACTACCAGACAGTAGTTTAAACATATACTAACGTAGTGCACACAAAGATTTTTGAACCATCAACCAAACGATTCATCTGTGATAGAAAACTTATAAATTAAAATAAAAGTCGGTTTAAAGATATTTGTTAGTGAATATCGCCTTTGATTTGAATGGCTTTAAATTGCTGAGAATCTTGTAAGTATAGGGAACGGTGGGAAAAGTCAATATTTTATCTTGCTTTAATATGGAGAACTCGTACCTCCTATAAAGTGTGATTATTGTAAGATTTATAATTCAAGTTGTTACTTAATTATATACCTATTTGTTTTATTGAAATATGATTTTACATCCCTATCTCTACGGGTTACTGGTATTAAAGATCCTTCTCCAGTTAGTAAAGTTAAATATTAAATCTAGTTGCGTTTTTTCCCGTTTTGTTACCAGGTATAGTCGTGTTCACGATTTATTAGCTTTTACGTAGATAGAAGAACAACAGTTCATTTAATGACTACTAAAGTCTAATGTATAGAGTTTATGTGTACAAACCTAAAAGGTGGATACTACGCTTGTTCTTGTTGGTTATAGGTTGTAACGCTTGTAATTTTATGTAATATGTATCTAATAATAGGTAACAATGTTATTGTTTAAACCGGCAAATGATTGCCGGCAGTTTGTTTAAAATTTATTGCATTTTCTGGTTTAACAAATCCACATTAATATTATTGAAATATTTGTAATTTTAAACATCGATCAAAAAGATAGTAATCTTAAAATCTTAAAAAGAATTAAAGATTCTATTTACTTCTCTGTATGGTTCCATATCAGGTTTGTACAACTTTATACGAGTACTAACAATGCTGGAAGCAGTAATATTTTCGTGCTATGACATTGCAATACGACACGCGACACGTATCGACTGCCGCTTCGTAATTGTGACGGTATGCTTCGACGAGAACAAAGGAATGTTGTAACTGGACAAAATATGGTTTGCTTACTTGGTTAGTTCTGCATTTATGCATATATTATATATATATATATATTATATGTGTGTGTTTGTGTATTTATAACTTATACACATAAAAATCTTCCGATTACTACAAATTACTGTTTGGTAGTAGAAATCATCAAATGATGAGACAAGAGAGCTTTCATCGAGGAGCAGAATCAATGAAGAAATCACCTTCTTGAATGCCGATGTAAAAGATCTATATAAAACTGTGTCATGGATTAGTATCGTTGTGTTGTGTTGTGTGTGTTTTTTTTTAAAGAGACAGCCTTGTCCCACTGTCATAAATTATTTTCATTCAGTCACCATTATCGTTTGTTGGGGTTTGCGATATAAATTACAATTTTTCTGACTTTAGAGCACGCCAGTGGATGACACGAATTATAACTGCAAGTGAATCTAAAGTGTATACTAACTATCATCTCAACTCAAAGCTAAAGCATGGGCAAGCAAAGGGGAACAAAATAATAAATCTTTATTAAGAAGAACGTATCTATTTGAAAGAATGTATCAATTCAAGATAAATGATTTAAAATTAGAGGTTTATCTTTTTTCAATCGTTTTATAAAAAAATGTACCTCTTGTTTTGTAGACAACTTCAATGAGATGGACTATTTATAATTTCATTTAAGATCTATCTATCTATCTAGGTACCTATCTAAAATATTGACATGGATAGTCCTGTTGCGGTGCTTTAACTCAAGTCCCTTGTTATTCTAAGATAAGTCATACACATACACACATAAATATCTAGATCTAGAAATAAAAATATACTTAAATAGACCAAAAACTAAGAATTCTAGTTTCATATAATGTAATCTTTCGTTATTGAGTGAACACGAGCAAGTTTTAGATAGAAGAACATTTATTTATGTTTAGCGTATTTATTTTAGAAGTTCTACCATATTTGTCTCCCGTTGCGAATGTGTAACATTTAAATGCAAACATTACGCGACTCGAACGTAAACATTTTGAACTTCTTAATGTAAATAGAAACAAACTTCCTTTGAGCGCAACCACGCATTTTTGGAACTACTCTTGTTGCTATGTTGTTGTTCCACGCTTTTCACGCAATGTTTTGCGTATATTGAACTCAAAACAAATGAAATACAACTGACAATACAAAACTAACTAACATAAATAACATACGCTGATAAACATTACATGTTTTAGTGTTACTGCTAATGATGACGAAACATGCAGCAATTCAAAGCACTTGATAGATTTTTTTTTTCTGTAAACTTAACAGGATGGTTGAATACTAACTAAGGCTGAATTTGTGAGAACGTTTGTTTTCTCTTCGAGGCTAATACTTAACTAGATTGTTTTCTAATTTAATAGAGATAGAATGAAAATTCCTTTCAAATAAATTCCTTTGTTTTCGATCTTTGTTTATTCGTCTTTGTAAATTGGTGTTGGAGAGATTGAATATCATTTATTATGTGTGACATATGGCACAAAAAACATCTCTTATATTAATAATGGGTGTGCTCACCAGAAAAACTCTTTACTTTGTGTTACAAGACCAATGTTGTACCATGAAATAAAGAGTTTTTCTGGTGTAAATGTAAACTATAATAATAAACTATTACTACAAACTACAGCCACAAATTAGAAATGACAAGAGACAAAATCAGTCTCAGTCAGAGTATGGTGAGCACCAGAAAACATATTTATGTATAAGAGACATTATCTACAAAGTCTATATTTCTTATATGGACATCATGGTTTTCATCACGATTGTTGAATATATTTTTATAATTCAGTGTCTATTTTCGATTTGTATAATATTTAAAATCGCCTAGTGTTTCGATGTCACAAGTCACGTAAAGTGAGTTCACAAATAGTTCTGACTATACATCATGTCCGAAAATTGTGTATTAAAATTCTGTTATTTAAACAAAGGCAACATTCTTTAGATAAAGTATAAGTAAGTTGAAGACTGTTTGTCTGTCGTATTAGCATATCTTGGTTTGTGGTATATGGAATAATATACTGACCCTGACTGGTGCCGGAAAGAGCGACGAGGCGTCGGGCTCTGGGGCGTGCGCGAGCGACATCTGATGCGCGCGCATCTGTCGCTCGCGCTCGCGGTCGCGTTCGCGGTCACGACCCGCCCACGCGCCGCCTGCGCCGCTGCCGGCGCCGCCCGAGCCGCCTCCCCCGCCCCTGTCCCGGTCCCACTTGTCGTACCTGTAACAATTAATTAATTGTTTAATGTAGTTTCATATAATACATATAATTATGTATGGCACAAGAAGTCAAAAAGTTTTGTTCATTACATATCTTTATGTTCATGCATCTTTTTTTATAAGTATTTTTTAAAGACTATAATCCATGTACATATAGCACAAGTAAACAGTAGACACGAATTCAATCATTAACTGACTTTCCTCACTCATGCATGACCGAGACATTTCCCTTTTACAAGGAGCTATAGCGACCCTGTTGACCAGCAAACAAAGCAATATGCAGTATTGTTATTGCACTGCAGGTTTATTGACATTCGCATTTCTTTCATTTTTCAATAAATGTTTTCTATAATGATTATAAAGAATAACTGATTGGCTCAGTACACTAATTGTTTTGATCGGAAGTGTACAAAATTAATGTTTGGTTGTTGTTGACACAGGCCCACCCATTTAACTCTGCTCCTGTATTCCATTTTCGGTAGGCCTAAGCTTCACTCTGTCATAAAAGATTTATAAGTAAAACATCAATATGGCAAACGCGATACCAAAACATTAAATTAAAAAGGGATTATGCACGTAACGTTTTCGTTTGAACTTCACGTAGAATTTCGAACTAAAATAACTTACATGAAAAAGCATTTTTATAGACAACTGTTGTATAGAATATATGTTGGTAAACGAGGATAGTCAGTTAAACCATTTACGAGCCTGACATAAAAGCATAAATAGCTGACACTGAGGCTTTTCTTTAACTGCTTAAATAATATAGGTAAAAAATAAGTGTGAAATGCGAATGGCCTATTGTTTCAGTTTTATGGAGACTTGTAGAAGTATGTGTAGTCTATATCATGCGAGTTCTTTATAGTTCCTACAAGACGATAATCCGCTTAATATGCACATGCGCTCCGTTGTCAATAGTTGTTGCCAAGGGTGGTTATTGTCCATGACTCAAAGGATGTAATCTACAAAACATTTCCACCGCATTTTTTAAATAAATAGATTATGCTATAAAAGCTTAGGCTAATATCCCGGTACGACTTTTAAGAGTTAGATCATTTATAATTATCATTGCTTGACGAAATAAACACGTGTTTCATCATTGTTATCTTCATAATTTCAAATAATGTGAATAAAATTAAATACACAAATATCAAACAGTTTAACTAATTTATGCAATACAGTTATTTTGATAGGGGGCAGGATCCAATGCAATTAATGAACGAACTTAATCAATAACATATTGTAATGACATAAATATGCACAGCAATGTCTAAAAATTTAAAGCTTTTTTTCTATATTTTACCCTATTAAATTAGCTATTAGAATTCAACAAGTTTTTTGAATATAGAGTTAAAAATAAGAGAGTAATCATTGGACCGTTACATTCATAGCAGTTAATTATCTTTGAGCAATATTATTTAATAGAAAGCGCTTCTGTTTGTTACGTATTTAAGTTTAAACTTCTTTACCGAACGTCGCACAATGGAATAAGCCTAAATTAATTTGCGTGCAAACATGATTAAAATATAGTTCTTATAAACTATGTAACAGTTCAGCACCTTAGTATTATTTTACATTACTAAGTAACTAAAAGTTTAATTTTTATTTTAAGCAAGTAAGGAACAAAGCCGCGGCTATTTAACATTCTTATTTTTATAATTAAAGTAAGTATTCCCAAGTGTAGAAGCCATTTCTAAGCAAAAATTATTTTAAGTATATACCTCGGATAGAAAAATTACTTTTAGACTGTCGGGAGTAGAGAAAAACTAAATTACCGCGAGCTAAGCTAAGAAAGCAAGTAGACTATAGGAATTTCATTACTAAGTAAATTGTTCCCGCACTAGTTAGTTATTTGCTAACCGTCCTCCGCCGACCCGACTTCATCAATCCCAATTTCGTGTGCATTCGGGAAAGTCTATTAGAGTATCAAATATACTCGAAATATGTCTAGCTTTTTTAGGGTGAAGGAGTAACAACAAAACTCAAACACCATATCAGGATTTATCATGTTGGTACAATTTATTAACAGGTTTAGGCCCCGTCCGCTCAGCGATATTTTACCGCGTGTTTATATTTTCGCAAAATTCTCGGGTTCATATTGTATCAAATCACAGATTTTTATTGGCGCGTTTTTTTTTCGCCAGTGCGGGTTGTCCTATATAGAACCCATGTGTTAAAGAATTTTGCGAAATAAACCGCGCGGTAAAATATCGCTGTGTGGACGAGGCCTTAAGAGGGAGAACAATCTTGATACTGATAGTCAGTTTGATATAAAATGTGTTATCTGTAACGTGCTGCTGTTATAACAAATATTTTTTCGGAAATGTCCTTGAAGTGATGACGTATAAATGTCAGTCGCGTCAAGCATAATATAACTTTATATTAACTTATCTGTGATAAGGATATCGTGATAAGAATGAAATGATGATTACTTTCGTAAACGATTTTTAAGTATTAACCGTTGATAACTGTATTATTGAATAGCAGTATGTGCATCAATAAAGTTTAAGCATATTGTTATCGCTATATTTTAAGGTTTTATCAACATCACGATTACTATCTACGGGCAATGATACATCCATTGCTGAACCCAACTGCCTCATAAGGCTTCCAAGAAGAGTGATCTTGCGCCGCCTCCTTCCCATGGCTTCCTACCGCATTCACCGGGTCATTGACAAAATATGTTTGTATCTCTTTTCTCCAATACAGCATATTTGGATTTCAAGTGATAACAAGGAGTCAAGCATCAAAGTATATTTCATTTTATAAAATATTTTTTTAATCATATTTTTCAGAAACAATAATACTTATGATTATTAGAAAAACGCACCAGATTAACAAATATAGAGCCACGAATAAAGATAAATTGTTATGGCATCTAACTATTGGAAAAATAGAACTGTTAAAATATAATTTTCAACAACAACGTTAATAATCAAGATAATTCTAAGTAACAAGAATAAGATAAATAACAGGAGGTTATCGGATGCATTATACGAGTAGTATAACAATAAAACAATAGACATTTGACTCGCGGGACATACATCGCTATAACAATAACGGTGACGTACCGCGCTCGTGGATTGTACGAGTATTATACGGTGTTGGATTTAGCAGATTTTAATATGAAGCCCATTGGAGCGAGGCAGAGAGTACCGCGTCGCATTAAGATTACCTCGTGGTATCGAACATGCATTGCACTTACGTATGTGTTGACCAACTAGCCTCAGCGTCTTGCCGTGTCCTTGACAAGTGACTATAGAACGAGTTTTCACATCGATTTATTATGACACCGTTTGAGATATTGCCCGACGCAAATCGCAATGTTTGCTGCAACGAGTGCGAGTTGTATCCATTGTTCGAGATGTTGTTCTAGAACCGGATATTTTCACATATCCGAGACAACTAGGTTATTTAGAACATAATGTTATATTAGTATCTGATACGTAGGTAAATAGACTCGTAGCGTGTCTGGCAGATAAGTACGTCATTATTATGCATAAATGTAGATTGGCTGCTGTTTTTATTTCTCGGTAACATTACCATAAAACAAATAGGAAGATAAATTTAATAAAGTTAATGTTAGGTTTCCTCGAAGTAATAAAGTCAACATGGAGTAGAAAAAAAACCGTGTGAACAAATTAACGGTAATTTCCTAGCATTTTCACTTACACTAAACATGCTCTCGTCATTTGTTGAAAGATTTATAAGATAGCTTTTGTTGTTTTAGCTGTAAGCGTCAGTTACTGCGTTGCATCATTTAAGAATAGACTACAACTTAGATATAATACAGTTGCGTGTTTGCAAGTTATTTATTTACTTTATAACTACTTATGTATCATATTGCTATAACTTTGTAGTATTTTGTATTGACAGTAGAATCATTGGCTGTAAAATGTTACAATTAAATATACGTATTACATTCAAGCACACGACTTCTACTGCCCAGCTTTTGCGAGCGGCTTCTGAAGTTATTTACCTATTACTCTTGAATTTATTTCTAAGGAATATATGATTTTAATTAGCCTATACAAAAATGAGTAAGTTAAACACCTAATCTTCACAAAGCAGATGAGAACAAATGAATGTAAATAATGTAGTTCACACATTTCATTATATGACTTATATTAATAATTGACCATACATACATTCACTACACTACACAATGAATTGCACATTTAAAAGCACTTACATACATACATAAAATGGAAATAGATGTGGCCGTATTTAAAGTTGCGTTAACTTTGTTAGACCAAACCAGACAGTAGGTACGTATAATATACAATATTCATTACAACTACAAAAACTGAGGTCATGACAGCATCATGCGATGCGTACCTACGTACATATTAACTAGAATTATTTTCTTATTTTTATCGCCTCTTATTGCGGTAAATAGCTATAACGACCTATTCAAAGAATGGAATTCATTTATCTTTAAGAACTTAATTTTTCCCTGTATATTTCTTAGAAATCGAAAGAGTTGGCATTCTGGACACCCTAGCAGATTCATTAAAACCTTAAAGTTCTATATATTATTAATATGTTGGTTTATGTATGTATGTAACTAGGTAAGTACTTATGTATGTATTAGGCGAAAACCTCCTTTCTAAGGAGAGGCCAATGTCCAGCAATGGACTGTTATAGGCTGTTGGTGGTTGGTGGTGATGTATTTGGCACGTATGTATGTATGTATATTTATCGCATTGTTTTTGTCTAACTTTTTAATAATTTTCTTTTACTTTAGATATCAATGTCTAGTGCACGTAGCCACACGTTACAGCACCACCCTAAGGTAGACTGGGAGAAAATGTCTGTGTTATTAAGTCCGCCATTGTACAACTCATACTTGTGCATAAAGAATTAAAAAAAAATGTATTTCTTTATCTAACTAAATTAATAGTTTTACAAGTAGTTGTGGCTTCTGTACTCTTCAGGGTCGCTGAACCAAATTTCAGTCTATTAATAGCTTTGAATTCAACGCAACCAAAGTCAGTAAAC